AGATCTATATCTCTCTCTATCCCTCTACTATATCTCTCTCTCCTCTATCTATATCTCTCTATCTCTATCTCTTAGCGCTGTCAAAATGGATCACAACTCGCCGGGCTAACCCGTCCACCACAGGTTTGAGTCGGGTTGATTTTGAAAAAATTTTATTTTTTTTTAAGCAGATTAGATTTCAACACCTTCACGGTTCATTTCATTTAACCCGGCTCATGTGGGTTGAACCCGTTGTGGAACCGGGTTGGCCACCAACCCACCTACCTAATTTTAATTTTTATTTAAATTTTAATTTTAATTTTATAAAAAAATATTTATTATTTTGTTTTTGGTTTGAAAAAATTATTTAAGTTTCTTATTTTCAAAAATAATTAAACACCATGTTAGGAGTGAAATTTGGGAGTGAAATTTGTTTAGATTTAAAATTATAGAAAGTTTGTAATTTTTTTATTTTAAAAAAAATTGTAATTAAGTGAGCTAGTGAGCCAACCCGTTTACCCACCAACCCGTGGTAGGTCGGGCCGGGTTCGAATTTTTCTGGCTCGTTAATAAGTGAGTCAAATTGAGTTGGCTCATTAAGTGACCAAGTCGTGGTGGGACGAGCTGGATCGGGCCGGGTGGCCCGTTTTGACAGCTATAATATATATATATATATATATATATAATATATGATTATATATATATCTATATATATTATATATATATACTATATATATATATATATTATATATATATTCTATTGACGTTTATCAAATAAAAGTAGAAAAAAACATTTTAGTATCATACCTCAATTAAGGAGATTGATTCCAAGTACAATGTTAGGGAAAATAGGGCGATTGAGAGTAGATATGTGCAATTTGTGAAGTTGATGATTGTCATTATGATGATTGAAGTGTGTATATAGAGAATATTTTGGAATCAAAGGATTATACGGGTTTGATTGAAGATAGAGTACTAGCAGAAGTAGAATAAGTTTAATCTAATAAGTGTTATCAAAACGGGTGGACGAGTTGATTATTTAGTGGTCAATCCAATTCGACCCATTTATTAGTCGAGTCAAAAAATTTCGAACCCAGCTCCACTTACCACAGGTTGATGGGTTACAATGAGTTGACTACACTCACTTTAATTATTATTTTTTAAATAAAAAAATATAAAATTTTTTGTAATTTCAAATTTAAATAAATTTCACTCTAAAAAGATGTTAATTCCAAAAACAATTCAAAATAATCAAAAAAGTAACATTCAATTCAAATGTAATCCAAAAAAAAAAACTCCAAAACAAATAAATAGTTTATAATTAATTTTTTTTGTGTCATTTATCATACAAAAGCATTTACGTAGCACGAAGTGATATTAGTAATTTGTTCCCGGGATTATTCGGCCTCATAATTAGTGCAAACCATTTATATTTGTATAATCTGTACTTCATCTTGAATACAAACAAATTATTAAAACAATGAGTGTGTAGGAACAAATGTGCTAAAAGCACGGAACATGTGTAAAGCAATGGAGAGGGAAAAGGATGAAAGGGCAAATAAATTAAAACATTAAATAGATGGTATAATTGACCACTAGTGAACACAGGAATGGGGGGGTGGATGAGGCAGGACTGGGGTACCAGATTCACTAGTGGTAGAACGGGGTTTTCTAAGTGGGCTAGGTTGAAAAATTCGGCCTATATAACAAAAATTATTTTCATGTTTTTCAAACCCAACCCAGTTCGAACCCGTGGTGGGCCGGATTGACCCACGTGTTCTAACCCATTTTGACAGCACTACTAATAATATCTTTATTAATCTAGATGAAAGCTTCAAAATAAATGTGACATTTGGGTTGATTTTTGAAAGGATAACGATATTCTGACTCTAGATTTGAACAACGTTTTGACATATGTCGGCATGTGATTGGTTTATTTGGACAAGTTAAAAAAAATGACATGGAAATAGATGAATTTGGGGTTCAAGGGGTTTTCTTCTTTCTGGGTTTCATTTTTTAGGATTCAAAAATTTGATTTCTAAGGTGCGAGAGAGAGCTTATTGGGACAACGATCATCGAGACGAGAAATCGCCGTTGCCGTTCAACGAACCTGCAACTGCCGCCGTTGACGAACCTATATCCGCCGTCGTTGGGGCCGAACTTACCGTTGTTTTGAAGCACCGTTGAGGCGGAAACAACAATTGCGTGGGGGTTGGGGTCTAGGGGGCTCGGTGTGCCGTTCATTTCGCTGAATTGATGTTTGGAGCATCGTCGAAGGCGAAAAACGCATAATCGCTGAAATAAAAAAAAGCACACGTTTGAAGTTTTTCTGTGCTTCGTTTTGTTTTTTCTTTGTTGTTTTTTGTTCGGTTATTTTCACTTGTTTTAATTTTTTGGATCATTTTGGGGTTTGTTCTATTTTTGAGGTGTAAAGTTAGTATTTTTTTTACACGCAAAATATTTTTTGGGTTTGTGGTTGTTGATCGTTTATTTTGACATCTCTTTTCTACAATGTTTCCTTTGACAGTCATGGATTCCATTAGACAACAAGGTCAAAATAATGTAAGTAAATATGTTGTATTGAAAATTTATTATTTTCTTTGAATAATGTTTTTTAATGGTTGATTTTGTTAAAAATTATTTTTAGTTTCGTTTGCGCCCGTGGTGTGACACCAAAGCTATAGTTGAGATAAATGGTTTCTTAAGAGACAATGATCGTATGCGTATCGGCGAGACTTCGTTTAAGTGATGTCTTTATATGCAGAGGCCAATTGACATATACACACCATTGTTGAAGGAATGGTGATCTAGTGGGTTGGGCGCAACAAATCCTTCCTTCTCAAGCAAAGAATGGTATCGTGACTGATATTTGCATGGGTTGGGCGCATTTGTCCCTCTGCTTCTGAAGTAGAAGGTGAACCGGATGAGGCAATCCCTTCTTTTGACACTGGCGCCTATACAAATGCGGAAGGTATTTTGAAGGAAGAGAATGATGATCTATGTTTATGAGTCATCGTCTACAAATTTTTCAGGACAGAGGAGTTCGATCCTCTCTTAGCCATCCCTCCATGGATGCACCCGCACTGAGGACGATGCTTTAAAAATGGTCCGTAGGATGCAAACAATTATACAACTAGTGATTCCTTTGACCTTCTTGGGAGGTAATGAATTTTAAAATTGGTAAAATTTTGGTTTCATATTTTGAGCAGTGACATGATGACATTCTATCAGACTTAATTTTGCATGTCTTGTGGAAGTATTCGTTGTTGAATTGTGGTCAAATTCCTTAGGAGCAGGAGTTTACTTTTAGAGGACCTTGGGAGGCAAGTGGACAACATAGTAATAATGAATTGTTGTGTGTGTATTTTTTGTAACAGATTTTATGTTAGTCCATTGATGTTTAATTATGAAATGGATTTTGTAGGCGATGCTGTTTGCAACAACCATCTTCATGTACTTTGAGCGAAGGTCCATTGGAGTTGAGGAAAGGATAATCTTTAATCCATTGTATATTGTACAAGCAATTTGTTATATTTTATGTTGTAAATTTTGGGATATATATATATATATATATATATATATATATAAACTAGGAGACAACTACCTAAATGCTAAAATATTAGAATTATTTAAGTCAATACCAAGCAAGACATAAAAGTTTATTATAAAACAATTCTGTCATTTTCTAAAAAAAAATAAATTACTTTGGGTACTTTTATTATATCGGATTAACTTTTCATCCCAAAGATTCCCCACTGCACATGGTGGAGTTGTCGTACCAAAGTCAAAACTCGACCACTACTTCTCAAGCAAGCTTTCTCAGCTTATATCTTCTGGTAAGCAATTAATTCGGTTTGGTTTAGATGCAGCTTTTGTGTATAAGCACGTTACATTCATCAACATTTACTTGTTCTTTGTGGATGAACTGTTTGACAAATTTTCCAGCTGGGAAATTCTGCATCGTTTGATACAGTTTTTCCAATTTTCATCTCTAGTACATGTTTCCTCAAGGTTTTGAATTTTATTCCACTTTCTGCCAACCCCTTAATGGAATGTGAATGAGTATTACATATCTACATACTGTGTTCAAGTTTGAAAACAGAAAATGGAAAACATTATGAAGAAATGGGGCATTGTGAGTATACCCAAATCTGGTTATTGTGGCTGAACGTGCACTGCATATAGAATGAAATAGTACCATTCCTCTTTTAGTTCGGTCCTTGTTAGTTTGCAGTGTTTTGGATTTTACAATAAGATTGAAAGTAAGAATAAATATTTCTATAGTTTGACAGTACCAATTTCCAGGAACTCAACCATCAATGGCAATGGAAGACAAGCACAACCTCAAAGATAATAAGGAGCTTCAACCACTCCTAGTGTTTGGTCCTCCAACAATCTTCCCAATTTTTGAAGCTCAAAACTCTCACAACTACCGTTTCCTCAAAGCTTTCTCCTCACAAGTTCCTCTCCACCAATTCCTCACTGAGCAAAAGGTTGACCCGTCATCAATTCAAGCCATATTGTGCAACCCTGAACAGAAGGTCTCAGCAGATGACATCCGGATCCTACCATCACTCCGCATCATTGTGACCACCAGCGCTGGAACCGATCACATAGACTTGGTTGAATGCAGCCGTCATAGTATTCAGGTTGCCTGTGCTGCTGGAGATCATGCAGGGGATGTTGCTGATATGGCTGTTGGGTTGTTGCTTGATGTAGTATGCAAAATTTCTGCTGCTGATCGACATGTTCGGAAACGGGGTCCGTCTATGCCCTTGAATCTTTCTTTTGGTTTTAAGGTACTACTCATTCTTCTACTTCTTCTATCTATGCATGTGCTTTTCATAACATGGTGTATCTGTTTTGTGCAAATATTTCCGATCTCCTATTTTTGTCCCTGAAAGATGATTTTCAATGAGTGGAGTACTGCCAAAATATAACACTGTTTTTCTATAACCCTCTACTATTAGTAAGTATCTATCGGAAAGTACCAAATCTTGAACGGAGATCATTACATAACGAGTAAAACCTACACAGTTGTGATTGCTAAAATCCACTCAAAACATGTCTTTTTTAACAATATCAACTATAATCATATGCATATGTTTGATTGGGAGTCTCACATCAAGCATTGATAAAACAGACTTATTAAGTAAGAGAATCAACCTTATTTAATAAATCAGTTTTGCAGAATTAAATTAGATTTAAAGTCCTTCGTAAGATGTGAAGAAGTTTTCTTTTAGTACTCATTAGAATAGACAAATAAAACATAAATTTTGCATCATGAATGGTGACTAGCACTGAGCTTTGTGTTTCAGCTAAAAGGAAAGCGAGTAGGGATTGTTGGATTGGGAAAAATTGGCACAGCAGTTGCCGAAAGGCTTGAGGCCTTCGGTTGCAGTATGATGTACAATTCAAGAAAGGAGAAGGCATTTATTTCATACCCCTTTTATTCTAATGTTGTTGAGCTTGCTGGTGATAGTGATGTTCTTGTGCTTTGTTGCGCATTAAATGAAGAAACAAGGCACATAGTGAATAGGGAAGTGATGTTGGCGTTGGGGAAAGATGGATTTATTATGAATGTTGGGCGTGGAGGTCTGATTGATGAAAAGGAAATGGTGCAGTGTTTGATGGAAGGGGAGATAGGGGGTGCTGGCTTGGATGTGTTTGAGAATGAGCCTATTGTTCCCACTGATCTCTTTACTTTGGATAATGTGGTCCTCTCCCCACATCATTCTTCATTTACTTCAGATCTTTTCCATGAATCATGTAAACTTGCAGCAGAAACTCTGCAAGTTTTCTTTTCAAGTAGCAGCTAGCAGATCCTGTAAGCTAAGGTGAAGAAGTCATTGTCCCTTTTTCTTTTGATAATCACATATAACTTCAAGCATTTGAGAGACTTTTAATGGTGAATTTGTTAAAGTGTTAAACAGTGTAAAATATTATGAGAGTAAATCCGGAATGAATTTAGATAAGTGAAGGTATGATATATTATCAGAAGAGAATGCTTCACAGTCACAACAAATTCACTTTATACAAAATGAAAATGAACCTTAAGAAAGAGCTCACATTTACTATAAAGGTATTAAACTACTTATCTTCTCATACGTTATGAGAAGTAGTTTATGTTCATTTAAAAAAGCATTAAACGATTACAAAAAAGAATCCATCAGAATGGAAGAACTTCTGAGATGACTTTCAAAGTACGCTCAATTTTTGTGTGACTTATGAAAAATTAATCTAGACAAAATCTGGGCTTATTTGATAGTTTTTATACAAAATGAATCTGTGTATTAAAAAAAAATCTTGGCAAAATTAGAATGCTCGTAGATTATTTTGGAAAGTTGAGTGAATTAATTTTTTTTAGGAGGGCAATTGGAAAAATATCACAGCACTCCTTAATGCACCATATTCAGAGTAATACTGTATTAAGAATGAAATAAAAGAAAACGAAATAGAAATAACAGAAATAAAGAGAAAAAAGAAGGAAAATAATAATAATAGAGTGAAAGAAAGACTTTATACAAATAAAAGAATTTCACAAACGATATAAACTTTTTGCCCAACTTATTTCAAAAAATATTTTTTCATAAAAATCTTTGATTTTTAAAACTTAAAACATAAATATAAAAATTATTAGAACTATTTCCATCCAACTTTGATAGATCTCAACCCATCCAAACAATAACAGTTTTCTTTTTTCGTTTCCGTAATTTAATGATTCCTAATTCAGCACAGAAATAAATAAAAAATTATTGCCTGCACTTTACTACTATTCAAAACTTATATTTCTGAAAAATTAGTTATTTCCAATTTAAATTATCAAGTGATGAGTTGAATTATGTTATTATATTATTTGTTATTATTCTCATTGAGAAGAATGCAAAATCTAAATATATGTTTACGAAATCTTATTAATCATTAATCATTAATCAGATATGGATCACGATGTGCAGAATTTGGCCCAAATTAATTTCGTCTCTAAATATGAAGCTCAATTTGACTGAGCTTTTACTTCCTGCACCTACATTATTACTGGATGCATCCTATACTAGCAAAAGACTAAAAAACCTCTTTCACTACACACGCCATCTAGTGTCACTGTTCTAGAAGTTATCGTATATGTTCCACAAAGTAAATTGAACAAATTTATTCTTGAAAACTTATTTTAAAATATGAGAAAATTATTCTAAAAATATTTTCAAAAATTATATTACAGAAATTTTAGAAAACTTATTCTGAAAAATTTTAAAAATAGATTATCCAGAAATCATTTTTATGAAAAGTAAAATAGTTATGTAAAAAATTACGAGGTTTGGGTTAGAAAAAAACCGTAGATAGAAAACATTGTAGGTCCGAACCACTTTACAAATTATTTGACATGTTTGATGAATTTGTTTGTTATCGTAAGTGCTAAAACAACTCATTGCATAAGTCCTTAGAATCTCAAACATATTTTGTACCCATTGCCCAATTCATTGGATTAGTTTCTACTTTTTCTACCTGAACAAAACAAAACATCATATCATAACATAACATGTTTGTGATAATCTCTTTTAAGGTATACCCTCTCACTAACTTTATAACTTTCCTATAGTTTCCTTTGCATCATAACCATTAAAGTTAGTCATAACCATTAAAGTTAGTCATAACCATTAAAGTTAGTCACCTTCTGTATTTATTCAAAAAGAGGGGATAGGTTCAATTCAATCATCGGAGACAATTTATTTTAAAACATTAATAATTATTATTATATAATATATGAATATAAGTATTTCAACTATGTATAATAATTTTATACACTAGTGCAGTAAAGGGAAACGACAGCGATTATTTTGGTTTATCTGTACCGGTTCTGCAACCGAGATATATACAGGCGACACTTTTTGTCTCGATTCTGAACCGAGGCAAAAAGATGTATGCTTTTGCCTCGGTTGTTGGTGAACCGAGGCAGTAGAGGGGTTTTATGCCTCGGTTTGGAGTTGAACCGAGGTAGTAGAAGGAAGGGCTGAACCCATTTTTGTGCCATCTCCCTGGGATTATGCTTGCCACATCCATTACTATATCGGTAGTCTCCTAGCATATAAGATCACAGAACGCAGTTCATAAAATAAAATAACTTTGAATCAAGAAACTCACATCCATTACTATATCGGTAGTCTCCTAGCATATAAGATCACAGAACGCAGTTCATAAAATAAAATAACTTTGAATCAAGAAACTGTTTCAAGGCAATGTAGAAGAAATATTACAAGCTGTAGTTTTACTGGGAGTATCTAATGAATAAATTAAGAAAACATCCATCCGGAAAGTATCAATAATCCCTAGCCCAGAGCTTTCTATAATTCAACAATATATCATATAGGTAAACAGAGAGAATACAAAGGTATGATTGTCTCTACAATTCCTTCTTAACGTTTCAGCCTCCATTCTTACATCGGACCACCACCCAACAACCGTGCTACCTTTATCGGACCACCACAGGGCACCACGCGAAGTCTTCTTCTCCAACGCGTCACAGCCACCATGGCATTCTCCAGAATCACGCCGTTATCCATGGCAACCTAAAGGAAATAGAAACCAAGCCAGAGAACCAGGACGCCACCTATAACCACGCTTCTCGCGCACCATCAGCAACCACATTGTGTCGCGTTGTGTCGCTGCCATGACCACCGCGAGAGCTCTCTCCGTCCTTCGCACAACCTGCAATCAGAAAGGCAACCAGCAGATCGCGTCACCACCGCCTTCGAAGTAGCCACAGCCAGCATCCACGCAAATCGTGACAGCCTCCTTTCATCGTGTGTAGAGAACTCGCAGCAAAGCATAATAGTTTCCCCCAATCTTCACCCCGCCGTCATCAAACCCTAATTCGCATCACCACCATCAACATCAGAAAAACCCCAATCACAAGTCGCCGCACTCACCTTCTTCACCAGAAACCTCCATTGACGCACCATCACGAAGCTCCGTTCATCACCACCTAGCGCCGCTGCCAACCTCCATGTTCGTCTCCATGACGCAACCCCGTTCAACCTCCATGGTCGCCGCTCATCGGCAACCTCACTTCACTCCCAACGGCCACCGCTTCCTCTTCCCTCCAAAGGCTACGCACTCACAGGAGAGGTGGAAGTCGCGCTCGCAGCCGTCGCACACGACGAGGTGGTGGTGGCTCCCAGTGATAGGGTTTTGGCGAACAAAGAGGAAGGCGAAGGGATCTCGTTTTCGGTTTCGGGTTTGGTCACCTTGAGTCTCTGCGTGGAGGGGGAGATTTTGGAGCCGCCTTGTAGATTTGGTTGCTCACGAGAAAAGAAGAGGAAAAGGGGAAAGGGGCGGTTGTTTCTCGAGGAAGAAGGAAATGAAACACTGTTGTAGGTTAAGTTTTTTTGAGGCAGCGGGGTTAAGAGGTAAGCAATACTACCTCGGTTCAGCCGAAGCAATACACACATTTATGCCTCGGTTCTACTCTCCACCGAGGCATACAGTCCTTAGAAAAAAATAAAAATAAAAATATGAAATGGTTATACACCTCGGTTCCTGCCTAAACCGATGAATAAACATGGTTTCGCACCAGTTCTGAATGAACCGGAGCCATAAGCTCTGCGCAGACTTCAAATTTCAGAGACATGTTAGGGGACAAGTGGGCTTTTGGGCATCAGTTGTAGTATCAACCGAGGTAATATGCCTTATATGCTTCGGTTCCCCTTGAACCGAGACGTATAAGTTCGCTTAAACTACAAAAATGTCACCGCGTTTTGATAGGCTTCGGTTTCACCTAAACCGAAGCCTATAGCGCGAGTTAAAAATCAATTTTTTTACTAGTAATATTATTTAAGAGTCAATGTTTAAAACAATTTAAATACACTTTATATTCTTTAAAATACTTTTTAAAGACAAAACCATAATCACTTAGTCAACATTAAAACTTATATAATTGTAACTAAAAAAAATCAAAAAGGTGCAAGTATTCATTTTTATCTCCATTTCCATGTGTGTGAAATACATGTATATATAATTTGGTCCACATATCAAGAATTTTAGATTACATATAAAAAAGTTTATAAAAGCTAAATAAAATTATTCAAATCATATTTAAGATGAACTATTTTAAAAGGTAAATAAACTTTCCCCACATACATTAAGAGAGACAATATACCAAATAGAAATTTTACTAATGATTTTGTTCCTGTAAAAAAATAAGATGATAATTAACAAGATATATTACATTAAAATTTTATCATAAATTTTAATTAAGGCTTGAATTTCTAGAGGTTATCTTGTGTTTGATAGTTATGAAATCAACCATACTTTAGCATTGTTCTGCATCTAATAAGTTATTGCATAAAATTAAAATTGAAGTCAAAGTGGAAACTATGTTTTGCACAATAATACAAAAATGACTTAATATTTTTAATTAGGTTTTTTCATAATTATTTGTTTACTTTTTTTAATCTATAATTACTTACATATATTTCTAGTCTCTTAATTTGTCATAATATTTTTAGCCTTTGAAAACATCTGAAAAAATTGATCCTAAAAAATACAATTATTTTAGTCATCTAAAAAAATTACTGAAAAATGGGTTGGTCTCTTTCCGTCGGTCCATTAGGTTTGTTACACGTTTTGCCAATGAATAATAAATTATCAACTATTACATGTGATAATTATAAAATAAAACATGTATAAATGGACATGTAATTTTTTATTTTATTTTTTTTTATAAATGCTTATTAATGTTCTACTAGAAAAGAGTTACAGATTTGAACAATAACATGAATTGAACAAGAGAGTAATAAAAAATCTTCGATGTTGAGTGAATTGTATATAGAGTTAATGATTTTATTTTCTCAAATAAAAAAAAAAGATGAGATTGGTTTGATGAGTGGGAAGGACACAAATCATTTTTAATTTAAAAATTAAAAAAGTAACTATATAAAATTAAGAAACTTAATTCAAGTC